GTTGAAGGTAACGCAAAAGTGAGTTTTTGATTTATTTCTCGTTCATACAAAGATTTATCGCTTCCGCCCATCACAGATAAATCGAGAAAAAGTGACATTCGATCCTTGGTTGAAACAGCAGTGCTATGAAAATTCTATGAAAACAGGTACGCAAGAGGGTCATCGAAAAAGCTGAGCTGTAAAACCGAAAGGTTGAATTACCTGTTGACCCTCATGCCTTCAATTACAGATAAGATTAAATATGATTAGAAAAATGGATTAGGAGAGGTAAGTATTAGTTCATAGGGCTATGGACAACGGGGGACAGTAGGATCGGTTTTGTGTAATCGATTCGCCGCGCGCGGCCGTCGCGGACCATTCGTCTCGTTTCGTTTGTTCGTGTATTTCTTACCTGCTGCCGCATTCTGCTACATTTCTTCGCGCACGGCGTCCCGCTCGCCGCGAAGCGACAACCTCGATCCTACTGCACCACACCCTTCCTGGTACAAATTCAAGTAAAGAAACAACAGCCGATTCAAGACTATACATACAATTGGAATAGAGGTAGTGAACTCAAAACTTTGTAATAGCGATTATTATTGATCATGATCATCGTTTTGCACTGAAAGTTGGAAGATGTACAGCTGTGGACATCAGAGTTACACAAAATAGCAGTCAATCGATTGGAGTTATTGATTTTTTGGGTGGCGCCCGTGACATTGTAAGTGAACAAGGATGGTTCTAGATGAACATCACAGTAATGAACAATATTATACAACAGTAGTTTTCGACAAAAATACCAAGAACTACATAAATCATGAATTAATGGTTCCTGGTAAAAACCGTTGCAAAAACCATTTTGCATTTGACAATACGAAAAAGTCTACGGCATGTGAATCAGGGACCAGTGTAAATATGGCCTCGGAGAACCAACGATGATCCTCTCGATAGAATGAGGCACGATCCATGATATCCATATGTTTAACGCCGGATTTCTGAGCTAGCTGTCCAGTGATGAACACATCTTCCATCTGGAATCACTAGGTGGTTTGATAGCTCTGGGGTAAGTAGCCTCGGGAAGGCTTTGAGTGGTTCAAATTCAGGAGCATACATTCAAACATGCACAATGCAGGATTACAAAGGTCGGATTTTTTATGAGAACCACTTTAAATTTTTCGGGAACGGTAACTCAATTCCGGTTCTTCCCGAAAGACGAAAAACGTCACCCTTATTTGTCCACAAGGGCTGACAGCCTATTTCCTCGTGTCCGTTGAATCTAGGGAAATGTGGGCATAGAACACTTCACCCTTTCGACTTCAAAGAATGTTCGTAAACAACCTACGTGAATTAGCCGTTCAGTTCTCGTAGCATTCAGAATGGTTTGTAGTGCTGGTAGCGGTATAAGGTAGGCGAACCCACAGCAATACGGTGGATACATTTCCCCGGCGAACTCTTCCTCAGAGACGTACCTGCAATGCATCTGATAGGAACTCCCCTGTTTTTCATCCGTTTGTGCTTTTCATAAAGCAGCCTATGCGACTTGTTGAGCATGAGAACCTTTTGAAATGAATCTATTTGTTCATTATTTTCACTTATTATCGATTTCAATCGATTGGAAATATCGATTTTTTGGTAGTTTTCACACTTTATTCTCCTATTTCCCTTATTCGATCAGGGTTACAAAAGTTGTAATAGTTGAAATCGTCAACAAATATTCTCTCAACTGAAATGAGAATATAGTCGATAGTTACTGTAGCATAGCTCATTTTTGCTCTACAAGTAGAAAATTTGGTTTTATAGTGCTTTTAAAATTTCCAAAAAAAAAGTTCCAAATCAAAGCTCACCATGTACTGTTCGGATCTCTCACAGGTGGTTTCTGAATCCTAAAAAAAAAGAGGATGAAGTGCCTATTTGAATTGTTGAAACATGAATTGCTTTTGACTATATGATTTATTCAAAACGTTACAAGCCCATATTCGCGTTTTGCCTGTTTTTCCTTATCCAAAGTTATTTCCTTTTATGTGCTATGAAGAATTCGAAATTATTGCCATCTTACTGAGGGCAATGAATGCTGTTATTTGCTGCTGCATGATTGACCAATAGCGTTGTTTCAAGAACATTCCAGGCAACGTCGTCGTCCACTTTGAGTACAGCTTTCACTTCGGTACAAACACCAGCCACGTACCTCATTGCGGCAATGTTCTAAAAGAGGAAATAAGAAGAGAGAAATACTCGTTACTAACTTCATGTGCTTTTTTTGTTTTGGAGGGGTGGGTTTTTCTGAAAGGGGGGGGGG